TCATGGGGGTTAGTGAATTTTAAAATAATCACTCATTTTGCAAGAAGCCTGTGAGTGCAGCTCCAACGTAATGATTGCTCGCATGATGGGTAGTTACCCGCGGCTTAGTGCCCAGCTGTGCCTGTCTCGCTTTTAAGATCATAAATAATTCTGTACGTGAGGGACCCAGGCTCTTGCCCTGAGCAGAGTGCTATCATTTGAACGACCCAGTGCTGAAAGAATGGATGTTGCTGAAGGAGATTTGAACCCTCAATTGAGAGAAATGGATCTCTTCTGTGGGTTAAATGAAGGAAGCTAATTGGACATGATATCACATCGACTTTTGTTTCACTGGCTCGCTTAGCCATCGTTTTTGAAGTATAGCATTTCCGAGCTCTTATTTGTACAGCAGTGAAAACCCTACGTCACTCCCGCGAGCTAGCCAAGCCGGGCTTTAAAATTTCATGATTCAGCAAATGCAAGAGCAGCTGCATTTTAAAAGAGTGAAGCCTTCAGAGGAGACAAGTGAGTTGAAGAACAAGAAAATAGAAATATTCTGGCTTTTACAAAATAAATCTGCAAAAGAATGGTGTTTTTTCTAAAGTTATAGCATCTTGATAGACTACTGTTCAGTAGTCTATGTACAGGCTCTCCTTCTTGAACTCATTTTTGCTTTTAAAAACTTGAGGATAAAATGGAGCTACATCTACAAAAAAGAATCATGAACACTTGTACAAAACCACCAATACCGCTTCGAAGATTATTTTGTAGCCAATGTGAAAAATTATATCTAAGTAAGAAAAAATGGCCAATTCTCTCACTCGTTGACTCACTATCATCAAGTCAATTGTGACTCACCCCTCACCCTCCATCAGATTTCTGAAGCCAGGAGGAGACTGCCCATCTTTCTCCTGCTAAGGAGTCAGTTGATTTGAACCATCAACCTCATGGTTGGCAGCCTGACGCGCCACGCACTGTGCCACTAGGGCTTAGCTATTTCAAAATAGCAGTAAGTTAGGAATAATTTAATGTCTCTCGATACAGAACAGGTTTAAATACTAGGGTGTGATGTCTGTGTCAGAGATTGTGAGGATGGCACAGAATAGGACCGGGTTCAGATCAGTTGTTCATAGGCTATGAGTTATACTCAACTTGACGGCACCTAACAACAACAACATATATGATGGTAGACGTTGTAGATTTTTTTTTTTTTGTTTCATTGTATTTAAAAACAACAAAACTCTTTATTAACTGGAATGAGTTCTAGATCCTGTGAATGCTACAGTTAAGACACTCAGCTGCTATGGAAATTGTTGGACCTTTGAGCCCACCCCGAGCACCTTGGAAGAAAGGCCTGGTTATCTGCTCTAACAATTAGTCATTGAAAACTTTCTGGAACATGATTCTGCTCTGACATATGAGTGGCCATGACTCAGAGTCACCTCCATGGCAACCGAAGAACATTTGTCCAGCAGGAAAGAATGTGGGGGCATAGCTCTGAGGCAGAGCATTTGACTGCAGAGGGAGAGAATGCGTATACGTGCTTATAAATGATAAATTCAGAGTATTTCTAAAAGAACATGGCAGAAACGAGTAGCAACAGGAAGCCAGAGACTAGCAAATCAAAGAAGCTTTTTCTTTTTTATTTTTAACCCAACCATATAATCTTCTACCTCTTAAATTATGCCATGAGCATGTATTACTCAAAGGAATAGTTCATTTTAATTAGCTTAAAATAGTGTTGAGGGCATCCTGCGTACAAGGGTCCTTTGTTGGGAACTGCCGAGAATAGAAAGGCATGTGGACAGACGTCCTGTGCTTCAGAAGAGCTTATCACAAACGGAGGCTGCAGGCCGGTTGAGTAGAGCAGCCACAGAACTGAACCAACATCCTAGCTCTGTGCACGGGAAGCCCACAGACAGGAGGAAGATCATGGTGGCTTGACAGAATGTGTAGCCTTTACAGTGACCCCGGGGCATAATCTGTAGGGAGCTGCTCTGTTAACCACAGATCGCCTCTCTGGTGATTCTAATCCAGGGGCATCTCCAGAGGAAGAAAGATGGGAAATCTCCTCCCATGTGATTTAAAGACTCTGAAAACCCGCATCAGCTGTGAGTTGGTTCCCACCCCAAGGCAATGAGCTGTTTGGGTTTGAAGTATCCGATCAGTAGGGTTAGGTGAGGTGGAAAAAAAAATGCATCCCTGGTTTAATGAAGAAAGGGACTTAACTTCATAACTTGAGAATGTGCCTCTGAGCAAAACAAATTGTCTCCTTTTCAAGATGTGTGGGGACAGTAGATCATAATGGGAGATGATTTTCTGGAAAGACCGTGAAGACAGGATGTCAGATTTGTAGTGTCTGGTTTCTTTAGTTAGAAGGTTTAATGCTGGCAAGGGAAAATAGATTTGTATATTCTTTTAGTTTGTTTTTGATACCTGTGGAACTTTACTTGGAGGAGAATTTTAATATTCATAGTATTTTTTATGTGTTTTTTTTTTCTTTCCCCAACCCAAACGATGTTTGCCATCTAGTGATTAATGCATGTCATTACAACAATCAATCTACTTTAAAAATCTTTACTTCTTTGTGGCAAGAAGCTGCACTGCAATCCCAGAGGAACACGGTTCGAATCCACCAGATGCTCTGCCGGAGGAGGAGGCGCAATATCCTCCTGTACCAGTCAGATCTGATTTGACGGTACACGCACACAAAATAATAAAAAATAATAAAGAAAAATTTGAAAAAAAGAATCTTTACTTCTTAGCCCTGTAGTCATGCTCTGGAGCTCCCAAATTCCATGCCCCCTTCATCACAACTTCCTGAACCTCAGTGCACCAGCCCTTGTCACCCCTTTGACAGTCAGAGAATTCTGAAGTAAAATCTGATCTCCCAGAGAGTGATGATACTATTCCCATGAAAGAAAGCGGGTCTGGAAGAAAAGGAGCTTGAGAAAGCATTAGGCAAAGATTCAGTCAACTCAGATTTGAAAATTAACCACTAACAGGACCTATGTCCTTTGTGTAAATAACATAGACTCTTTTGACGATCATGGACTCCGAGGGATACCCTAGTTAAATTCCAGGCTTTCTCTTCTTGTCGGTATCTTATAAATATGTTGTTGTTGTTGTTGTTGTTGTGTGCCATTGAGTCACTTGCGACTCGTAATGACCCTATGTACAACAGCCCTAAACTCCGCCTCTGTCCTGTGCCAATCACACTGCCTCTGACACACCCATCCCGATTACCCCAGTCACTGAATCAATCCACCTCATAGAGGGCCTTCCCCTCCTGTGCTGTCCCTCCACCCTCCCAAGCATAATGTCCCTCTCTAAGGACAATATATATGTCCAAAGTATGTCAGACGAAGCCTCAGAATCCTTGCCTCCAAAGAGTAGCCCGGTTCAACCCTCTCCAGGATCAATCTGTTTGTTTTCCTAGCAGTCCATGGTACCCTCAATACTCTTCTCCAGCACCACAGCTCAAAGGCATCAATTCTCCTTCTATCATCCCTAGTCACTGTCCAACTCTCTGATGCATAACAAGTGATTGCAAAGACCATGGCCTGTATCAGACACACCTTAATCTCCAGAGAGACACCATTGCTCTTCAGTACTTTGGAGAGGTCCCTAACAGATGACTTTCCCATCGCAATACATATTCTAGTTTCTTGGCTTCTGGTGCCAAGAGTGTTGACTGTGGAGCCGAGCAAACTAAAGCTGTGAACAGTCTCAATCTCTACACCATCCATCCTGATGCCGCCAATTGGCCCAGTGGTGAGAATATTATTTTACTATTGTCGTGTGATGAAGTGGGATTTCTTCTTCTTCAACAGTCATTGTTCATCAGCTGGGAGACTAAGCCCAGAAATGTTTGGTCTGTGTGCCTGATTTAAATATAAGCAGCAGTCATTCCAAATTTGTAAAAGACCCAAGATAATATCTTGCAGCTGAGATATCAGAGTTTCTAAACAGAGACGACTCTTTATCCCCCCTTTTCTTTCCTCCTTTTTAAAAAATAGTGGTAGGTATGTGTAGAAAACATTTGCCACATCAGCATTTTAAATTTTACATTTTCAGTGCCATGAATTGCATCATGCTGGACAGCCACCACTATTGTCTGGAGCTCTGGTAGGCTAGTGGATAAGGACCTGTGCTGCTAACCCAGATGCAAGCGGTTCAAATCCACCAGCTGCTCTGTGGAAGAAAGGTGCATGGTCTAGAAAGCCGCTCGAGGGTCAGCTGTGAGTTGGTTTCAACCCCACAGCAATAACAGACAGAACTACTTCCAAACCTTTCCCTCGCTTTTAACAGCACCACATAGTATAAACAAAACCCCTCCCTTTCACATTCTTGATCCCGCTTCTCCCATAAGCCACTAATAAACATTGGACTCTACATATTTGTCTAGTCTAGATATTTTGTCTAAGTAGGATCATGTAATATCGCATACTTTAACGTGTATTAAGATGTCTTTTCTCGTTGTGACTTCAGTATCAGTAAATACACTGGGTTCAATCTACATATTTCTCCCAAGATTTTGATTGTGAGAACACACCTACTCAACAGTTAATAACTGAAAGCCTGAACTCATCAGTCTTTGAACTAGATACAGTAGCTACAAGTAACCAGTTTAACTGTCATGATGACATCTACGTTAGAACACCTTACATGAGATTCAAGGAAGAGACTGCCTCGGCCTGACTTTTGTCCTGTGGAGGACCACACATCTGTGAGTCCAGGAATATGGATTTGTCCATTTTTAAATATCATCTCTTCTGTTTTTCACGGACTCTGAAGAGATACAATGGATAAAATTCCTACCTTCTTGCCATATGCTGCTCATTTTTCTTTTTCAGGTTTTTATGAATTGTTAGCTTGGGTAATGGTTCGCAATCTCCAGTCCAAGAGGAAGCCCTGAAATGTGACAGAGTGTGTTACAGGAGCATCCAGCCTGCTCCGATGCGATTGTAAATAACTCTTTCTCTCTTTGGAGTGACATTCTCTGCATTTGACTTTTACAGGGAAAACCAGAAATACCGGGTGTATGTTGTGATACCGCTTCTGCCAGGGTTTGAAGGAGACATTTCAACTGGTGGAGGAAACGCGCTCCAAGCCATCATGCACTTCAACTACAGGTGCCTGTATTCTAAATGGTCTGTTCAGAGCCTTCAGCCGGCCATGGACGTGAGCTGGCAGAGGGAAGAACGACGCTTCTCATGCCCGTGCACCAGAGCTCCCAACACAGACACACTCCTGATTGATATATATATATATATATATA